GGGGGGGGGATAAAATCAATTAAATTTGTCATCTCTACTGTTGCTTTGTGAGCATTTAAGATTGACTGGGTATCATATCATCTACATCACCACAGATGCACTTAGTAACAAAAAGCAAAGAAAAAAGACTGCTGAGATCCCCTCGAAGGGTTGCTAACACATGTAGTAACACGTTTTTCAAAGCTGTATCTTGTTTCTACCAATTTGCCCTGAAGTATTCTGAGAGTTTAATTTGACTACTCTTCCTTAAAAAAAAAGAGGAGAAAAAAAAGGGGGAAAATCACACAGAATGACTTGCAGACTAAGCGTGGAACTGACATCTGACTGCCACATTATTATTATCAGCAACAAGCATCTGCAGTGACAAACAATAGCTCCTTCAGATTTGTAAGTATCTCAGAAAGTATGGCAATGGAGATGCCTTCTTTCAAATGCAGTCTAAACAACTTCCGCTTGCACCAAATACTGAACCACCTGAAAGGGCTTGGACAGAAATTAAGAGTCCTAGGCTGCAGCTCAAGCATCCTCCTGGGTAACAAATTTCTGTTGTAGCAAACACAAAGACAGCATTCAGTAGCCCCTCTTGCGGCTTCTGAATTCCAGAGACCTTTTAAGATTATGGAAACATCTTCAACTATTTAGCTACATATATGCCCTCAATAAGTGATGTAGATTTACTATGATTACAGTCAAGGAGAACCCTATCCAAAGCTTTGGACACTTTTCACAGTTGTCAGAAATTATGAGTTTGTGTGCTTGGGTTTTTAAGTTTCTTCAAGTTTAACACACTCGCAATACAAATGCCATACAACCTACCCAAAAAGGATTCCTGTTAACAGGCACACAATAGCAACTAGGCTCAGCGTATTTATCACAGGACATCCGTTTAGAGCAAGCCAGCAAACTGCATCAGCTACTATTTCTTAGTGACTCCGAGATCCACCATGCGCTTGTCCTACCACTTCTACAGTCAGCTTCTCATGGCCACCAGCAATAACAAGATACTGAACTTCGGGTACCTTTGTTTTCATCAGGTGCACTGTTTTTCACTCTAATGCAATGAAGTTTTGATATAACATAGACAATGATGATGCAAATCAGCCAGAACGCAGCACAGCTAGGAATTCCCCTTGACTACAGTTCTGTAAGAACAGGCTTCACTATACAACCAGAAAACATAACCCTGAAAACAGCATTTGCCAAGCACTGCGATACAAACCAAAGACATGCCAGAAAATAACACCTGAGAGAATAGGAAGGGATTCTCCTTTGCAGGTGTTTAAGGAACTTGTACACCATTATGCAAGTTAAAAGCATAGAGTACTTGCGAAAAACAATCTGTGCTACCTAGGAATTTCATAAACTTCAATTTTCTATAGTAGGCATGATTTAATTTATGCTTTAATAATGCTTAACCAGCATAGGAAGGACTTTATTATGGTTTTAGTTATGTGATGCACAAAAAACAGAGAAACAATTTCACTGTGTTCCAAGTAGGAGTCTCTCTTCACACATAGATCTTTGCTAGACCTGGAATTACCCATCTCTCTTCTAATACACAGGCACAGACAGGAAGTAGTAAGCTATCCCAAAGGGATCCCAGGAACCTTCATCACCCAGCATGTCACTCTACAACTACCTTAGTATCACACCTTAATAAGTAAGAGCCTTAACACATTTAGTTACTTCTTCACCAGGAATGGCCAAGACAGCATCCAAGTCAGCAATATAAATCAACACCACCACCCCAACACCGAAATTACCTTTTTGTCATTATCAAGCTGGGTTTATAACACCATCACCCACCACTTTTGATAACAGATTAGGAAAAAGCTATATATAATTTTGCTTGTGTTATAATGCTCTTTCCCCCATACCCAAGCACCTTGACACTTTGGACAAGGAACCTGACACTTGGATAAAAACAGCTGGCATGCATAAACATATGCAACACCTTTTGCCAATCCTCTGAACATACATAAAAAACTGGTAAATGCAGTTTTTAAAAAAATCAGTTTATGAATGCTGAAATTCAAATGGGTAAGCCGATCTGCACAACTTCTTGACTGCAGGTGAGAAGCAGTACATGCTAGTCAGCATGCCTGAGCACTGAGAGCATCTCTGTTCATCAGGCAAACAACCTAGCTGTACAGTCATACTTTCATGTTGGAGGGTGCATGAAAGGTGACTACTTAGCTGCAGTTCAGTAGTTAAACACTGTCCCTCAGCTCTCAGCAGTGCTGAAGAGCACTGCGTACTTTGCCAAACAAGCTTCCTGTGCTCTGTACTATAAATCATTATAAATCAGAATTGCCAATAAAAAGCCAGAGGACAAGTATGTACATAGGTACTAAAACAGGAGCTGGGCAGTAGAATTCCAGGGATTGGATTCAATAGTACAGACACGGAAGAAAGAGGCCACAGGCAGGCATGATGATTGTATAATGCAGTAGGAATAAGAAAGGACTGCAAAGGACACAAGAAGCTAAATGCCTTCAAGTGTTGCTAGCGAGAATACACTACAGTATGAAGGAGGACACTAGGAACATAAAGGATGGTGGAACTAGTACAGGAAGAAGGCAAAAGCACAGTCAAATGTTCATCTTTAATGGCTCTCATGTTTGAGTCAAGTGCTGCCAGATCAGATGAACAGCTAAAAATCCCTACGAAGGAGATAGTGTCCTCATTGAGTAAGTGAAAAATCTCTCACAGCCACTGATGCTGAGCAGTCCTATCCCAATTAAATTTTGTGCTTCATTTAATGTAAGGAGTCTCAGAAGCAGGCTGACAGAAAGCAGAGTCATAGAAATATGCAAATAGATAAGAAGTTTATGTGTGCTTATAGTGCCCTTGCTCCATTCACCTCTTCTCCAGAGCCCCCTTCTGGTCCTAGCTCAGCAAGGTCTAAGATGGCTGCCAGCTCCTCCCCATCAGCAGGTTTTATGCAGCTTTCCCTCTGAAACAGGACAGGAACCTGGCCCTCAGTCTTCCACCACTATGTCTGATGCGTTAGCTGTCACATTAGCCAATGTATCCAGAATACTCCGGCCCAAATGATGCTGTCCTTTGATCACCTCAAGGTATTAAGTCAGACACAAGAACCAAAAGCTAAGTTTGTCTCTCTCATTTTCCCCAATACCAGCCCCTTCCAGCTGTTAAGCAATTTATTAGAGAAGGAGAATACTGCCTTTTGGATAAAAGAAGCTTAAGGTCTTCAGAGGAGCAGTGAAAAAAATGCTTGTGGTAAGCTGGTTAGGTACAGCAACAGTTTAAGTAGAGAGTGGGACTGAATGGGCATGGAGAAAAAGGCACACTGGGTCTAAGTACCATGAAACACATGGGGGTATGGATGAGTGGGGTGGCAGCAGTTCCCTGAGGACATGCACTATGATTGGACCAATGCCCAAAGGAAAAAACTGGAGATGGAGGAGTGATTTTGGGAAGAAAACTGGGTCAGGAGAAAGATTTATTCTCCCCACCCCCAAATCATGCACTTCCAAAGAACAGCAGGCATTCGTAACTTTTGTGAAGCTCCCAGACTTAAAACCACCAAGACAAGAGAAGTATGACATTCAACTTCATATCAAGCTACAGCAAGACGTAAATGACAACTGTAAAAAACATACAACTCTTTCTAAAGACATATCTTCAAGAAGGTTACTGCCTGTGCTCACATTCTGACATCCTGAATCCTCAAAGTACCACAGCTTTGTTGAAACCTTTTCACATCAGACAATGAAACTACAATATTTAGGAAACATTTTGTATTCAGTAAGAGAAAAAAGCATCCCGGAAATGGAAACACCCAGACTGACCACGCAGCAAGCTTCACATTCTTGCCTCAAAACTTTTTATGCTATAAACCAATGTGAAACATGAAAATATAGCCAGTTAGTTTTTTAAATACCTGTGATTAAATAAGGCTTCTTACCTAATTCAAAAAGAAACCCTCTATCATTATCAGGGTGACACATTTGGTTATAGGGATCCTTGAATTTTAGCTTGGCATTTAGAAAGGAAATATACCTCCCTCCCCAGTCAAATAACAAATTTCAGAGACCTCTTCTTTATGTGAAGTATGTCCAATCTATTAATAAAGGAAAAATACTTTGTAAATATTGGTTTAGGCTGCCACTGAAATGCAATTCAGGCAGCACTTAAAAAAATTCTTAATGCCTTTTTAGTGCTGTTATTACTTAATCTAGAGCAACACGATTAGATCTACATTTTTGGATATGAGTAACTTGATATGCTGTTTACTGACCCAAAGAATCAATAAAAATTCACCTGGGATTTTACTTATCACCCCTTACAAAAACACACCCAACCAAATAAAAAATAACCCCAAAACAAAACACAAAAGCTCCACAAAACCAACAGCTAGTACTAGGCAATTTAAATAAATTAGTTAGCATGGTGCCACTCTTAACTGCATACCCAACTACGGAATTTCCAAATCTACTAGATGTCAAGGTTCAAACATTAAGTGATATGTAAACTGACCTGGCTGAGATACTGCAGTGGCTGTAAACTGAGTAGCCCAAGGGGGATTCTTCTGTCCTCCAAACTGAGCCATGGTGAAAGGCAAAATCTCCTGGGTGTCTATCTTCTATAACTGCAATCTATTAAAATAAAGCGCAGTTACAATCTCTGAAACATATACCATCGGCCTACTGTAATCCTGGGTAAAAAAAAAAAAAAGAAAAAAAAAAGCGTTGAGAGATTATCTTTACACCCCCCCTAAACCCGGTGGGCAACACGCATCAAAAGTGGGAAACACAGAAAGTTGCAAGACAAGTTATTACATTTTCTTAAGGCACAATCTCCACCCTCCCCTTCTTGACAATGGGACGACCGCTACTTAGACGCAAAAATCTATTCGAGTTTCCACCGAAGCGTAACGGAAAAGTGACTGCAAAAGGAAGAGTTTTCATTGTTATTTCTTGTTCAGGGCTACTGCTCCGCCGCCGGCGGGAAGCGCTGCCGGCAGAGGCACAGCGCACGCTTCAGCTTCCCTCCCCCCGAACAAGGGCAAGTTAAACCACGCGAACATGGCAGGGCCGCTCTCCAGCTCCGCGGCTCGCCTCCGTCCCTGCCCCGCGACCACGGTTTCTGAAAAACGGCTCTACCTCCTCAGCACCGCTATTCCCTCCCCGTTTTCTGGGCTGGGCAGGGTTCTGGGTTTTTTTCCC